GTAAACATACTGGACACCCTCCTCTCTTTGGAATTTGTCCCCAGAAATCTACTTGGCCTGCTTTGTTCAGGCTGCCTTCCCAGTTGCGCTTACCCTGAGAAATCACTTGGGTACTGTGACTACCCATGCTTCCGAGCTCACTGACATCCCCTAACTTTGCTCTTCCTTCCCCAGTGACAGTCATCTCTGACGTCGTGTGTGGTTTTGTTTATATGTTGTATTTATTGTCCGTTTCACTCTGCTAAATTCTAATTTCCCTAAGGACAGGCATCTTCATTTCAGTTACTGATTTATTTCGTGCACTGTAACAGTGCCTCTACATAGTGGACCTTCAGTGAATATTTTTGAAAACATGAATTGACTTTATTCTCCTCCTCCTCCTCATCCTCATCATTATGTTTTTGCTTGTTCTTTTTTTCTCCCACTCTCTTTGTTCCCCTTCATAGTAATGGACAGAAAACGCAATCCCAGATTATTTACTTTTTTGCTAGCTCACACCTTACTTCGCTCAGTCTGCACTGCCCTGAGCACAGTCCTGCGTGCACGACCTGCTGCTCTCCCAGGGAGTCTCTCTACTGATAGCACATTGCTACTCAGGCCGGAGTCGGTGTCCAAAGAACCCATCCTTGCTAAGAGCTACAAATCAGGGAAAAGATAGGCTGGGTCAAATTCATTGAAAAGTGCCTCTACATGTTATTTAGGGTAATAGACAGTGAATTTTTATGGCAATTTCATGCCATCAAAAGTCCCTTTGTAGAACTAATTTTCCACCCAAAGTCAAAATTCAAGGCCAATGTTATCACTTACACTCTGTCCTCTGGGCTTCATTTAAAAGATGAGCAGGCCCAGCAGGAATGCTAGTTTGTCAAAAGGTCTGTAAGTTCTATTAAAATATTTTGGGGTCATCAAAACCCAAAGTGTGGTTTACTGAAGTGCTTTCCCCCAATCCTTAAATCCATAGATATTTCAAAGTAAAGTGACTTCATCTGTTTTCCATATATTTGCTCCTAGATCTTCCTATTTCAGGAATGGGTGGTGGCAGCAGGAAGGTGCTGTCCTAGGCACTGGCTTCCTTCTTCACCACCACAGACAGATCATTCATGAGCCACAGACCCAGCTTCTTGGCAGAAGACCACATCTGTATCCTTTGAAGTTCTCTTTTAATTGAAACTCCAACCTCAGTTCTCATTATTATAGCTGCCAAGGAAAGTAAAGTGGAAAGAAAGTGCATTTTCTGCTATAGGACCATACAATCCCAGAATCTTAGACTTGTGATTCTCAAAGTCTTCTGGTCTGTACAGCATGTGATACCTGAGTAACTGAACAGTATCCTGGCTAATTAGCATCCTCTGCTTGAGCATCTCCAGGGATGGAGTTCCAACAGAGACCATGGCCATATAGTGGTCTTCAGCTATGGGAGAGGCTCATAGAAAACTGAGTCTTCTTCAGCCCACATCTGCCCACTCTTCATCCTCCTGTAGGATTTGAATACCTGTCTGTGTTTCTTTCATGCTCTCTTCTGAGTGGATCTCACTCTTTCCTATGACTTCAAACACCAGTGTTTACATGGGTCATTCCCAAGTGTGTGCCCTGTGTACCCACGACTCATGAGACCTCACGTTCACCATCCTTGCTTATTAGTGTTATTGAAGCTACTCTTATTATTTTTGGCTGTTTCATTATATTCTAGCCTAAAAGTTCTGTGTCTTTCTTACCTACTAGGGTGTAAATAAGTTAAGACTGAACATTGTCTTTGCTTTTTAAACACAAATGTAAGACCCTTAGATTTAGTTCTAGTAATTTCACCGTGTTGAACTCAGTGTGAATACAGGATGAGGCATGGGAATGCTGCAGTACTAAGAACTTGAGGATTGTTGAACACGTGTATATGCCAGTGAGTTGAAGCTGCTATAGAGGCTTAAAGGTGATTAAAATCAGCAAGGAAATAATTGACTTCTCAGAGCTGTAAATTTTAACCATGTGGTAACCTTGCTTGGTCAAAATAGGCATTTAGATGAAGATGATATGAGTCTGGCATTAAGGAAGGGAAGCAGTGGTAAGAGCTACTGAGAATTATTTCCATATTCTGAGATGGAGAAAAAGGAGACTATGAAATATGTGGAGTAAGAGAGAATTACAAGATATTTTGGGGCTCATGCTGGTGACATTGGATGGTAGCATCAGTCAGAACCCAGCAGGAAAGTTCAGGTGGTCATTTTTTCCCCAATTTGGCTGGATTCTGGATATCTGGAGTTTCTATGGGGCCTTTGTGCTGGTCATGCAGATATAAAGTAGGAAAAGAAACAGCCAAGAGTCCAGGCACATGGGGATAGCAAGAGTGTGTTGCTGGTCTCTGCATCCTCATTGTTATCCGCGTGCTTCTTTGTCTAAGGGGTGGGGAAAAACGATTAGTTGAAGGGAGGCAGGGACAATTATGTGATAGCTCAGTAGAAAATGTTCAGTCTAACTTACTTTTTTTCTGTGGTTATTGGACTCTAAATCTAAACTACTAAATTTACCCCGCATGCTGTTAGGTCCTTCGGGGATATTGAGGTCCTCACTAACTTTCCTAAGCCTATTTATGCCTCTTCTCAGAGTAAGGCTTGTTCAGGAGGCCCTTGGTATTCTGCTTTTCTAACCTCTGTCTCACACAAAACTCCAGCCACACCTGCCACAACCTGTCTAAACTGCCCTCAAGAATGAGTGTATACAGCCAGGTGTGGTGGTGCACGCCTGTAATCCCAGCACTCAGGAGGCTGAGACAGGAGGATCATAGCAAGTTCAAGGCCAGCCTGGGGTACAAAATGAGCTCAAGGCCAGCCTGAACTGCATAGTGAGACCCTGTCTCAAAAAGACCCCTGCCCCCTGCCAAAAAAGGATGAGCATATACCTGTTTCTCACTCCTCTGTCAAAATGCAATTTATCCTCTGTGTATATCTACCCTTCCCCTACATCATCTGCTTGCTCTCGCATATATGATCTCCCTTGTTGGTGAGCATCTTTACTCTGTAGCTACCTCTGCGATAGCACCCATTGTGCTGGACTTGTAGGTTGTGGCTGTGTTCTCTGGGAATGGGTATTTTTGGATGGCAGGCAGATGGCCTGAGCTTCCTCTGCATATTTCCACCATCTCACTCAGTCCCTGGAACATAGTAGGCCTCACTAAATGCTCTTTGATGGAAGAATATATGAATGGGTGACTGAGTGAATGGATTTTACCATCTTTCCTTTCCCAGTTTGATAATACTTTCTGGAAAGGAAAAGAAATTATTTTCTCTAAGAATTTCTCTTGCATTTCATCATCACTTTTTAATTTTCTGTTTCATACTGTAATGTCAAGCTCATTGGTTTATAATCTTCAGAGTCAGTCTTCCCCTTTCAGACAGCAGAACTATGTGTACTAGCCTCCAGCTCTCCAATATTACAACCTGTCCATGCTCAGGCAGCGCAGGAGGGGCCAGGCTGGGAGCAGACCCCTCACCAGCAGGCCACTCTGTTCCTCTGTCCCATGGGGCTATTGCCATGAACCTGGCCATAGCCAAGGGGATAATTTTACATGTTTTACTAATCACTTCTCACTAGAACACTGAGAAGCACTCAGTGTCCAAGACTAGGGCATTGAGAAATATTCATTATCTTTTTGATAAGCAAAAGGAAAAGAAAGGTTTTTCTTTGTCTATAAGCAAAGATGATCATTTCTTATTTTTATCATCTCTATATCCAGTCTCAGAAAATGAGTTTTATGTCAGGATCTCATTAAGATATCTTTTAATACAGGTACAAAGGTTAGCTCTGATTGGTAGAAATGGTTCCTTTTTTTTTTTAATTTTAAAGAGAATTTAACAAATAAAAAAGGAATAAGCAAAATGCCAACAACATAGACAAAAACAAAACAAAGCAAAACCAATAAGAATGATACAGGGTTTCAGAACAAAGTGATAGGAATTAACAGTGATTGTTATATTACATATTGTTATCTTCATCAAAGTTGCTCAGATTACCAGATGTAAGAATGTAAGATTAATCAAACCATTAAAGAGAACAAAAAAATAAAAACAAAAAAATTATAAATGATGCAGAGTTTCACCAAACAAGATGATAGGAATTCAGCAATATGCAATATAACAACCATTGTTGAGATGGTTCCTTTTATTTATTTATTTATTTATTTATTTATTTTCAGTACCAGGAATCAAACTCATGAACTTACACTTGCCAGGCAGGAGCTTGTGCCGCTGAGCTATATCCCCATCCAAGAGGGTTCCTTTTAATACAACTCCCTCTCATCCTTACAGAATACATGAGCTCATTTGACCTGGTGATACGTGTAATTGCCGTATGACCAGGTGCTGCTGCTCATGTGGCTGCTCTCTGTGTGTGTTACCGTGAGAGACAGTGAGTAAATGTTGCTGTGTGTGCCTGCCCTGCTGCCCGCCCCAGCACACAGCAGTATGGCTTTTTGCTGCATTCTTTGCCTCACTGCAGGTTAGCCCCAGAAGCACCACTCCGTTTCCATAGACCCCACTTCTGATAGCTATAGACATCTGAGCACCTGGAAAGGGTGACTGAACCAGGTGACCTCTGCATTCTCCCCAACTGTATTATTCTGTGAAATCAGTTTAGTGTAAATGATTTAAGAGGTTAGTCAGAAGAGAGTTCGGTGTGCAGCAGTCTTCTTAGGTTTCTGCACTGAGTTCCCCGAATGAGAAACCAGAGCCTGTTGTGGGGATTCATGTGGTTGACTGTGGTCATGCAGAGTACAGTGCCTGCCACATAGTAGGTCCAATTGCTATAAATTCTATAAAATAAAATATCCCCATAGCTAATGATTTTTAACTTCTCAAACAAGAAGCAGCAAAGCAGTATCAAATTATATATAAAGTTTCAAGAAAAAATACCCCGTTAGAAGTCTTGTACTTACAGAAACACTGAATTTGTAAGTATTTCCAATCTAAAAAGTTGATGAAAGTCCTTAAAAGCTATATACAGTAGATACTTACCTTTGGACAAGGAACTCACATCTCCCTTATGTATTTTTAAGCATTTCCCATCAGTTGCACCTATTGGAAAGACCTTTGTTTAAACTCAGAATTCAACTGCTAATCTTCACACATATGGCAAATGTGAACTAATCAGACCACAGATATTTTGCTGCATTCCAGGGTGTCTCATTTATTTGTTTGATTTGCAGCTATAGCAACTAGATTCCACCACGTTAGGCTTTCACACAGACCTACAGTGCGATCAGCTTGGTTGACGTTTGGCACTCGGCACTATGTTCAATTGAAGACATATGCCCAAACTCACTCACCACATTTTTAAACTGTTTTTCACACTGGGTAGATCTGTAATATTTGCCTAAAAATATGAAAAGCAACCTTCTGCAAGGATAGCAGGCAATTAAAAAATGTGATGACCTTCTTTCCTATAACATTTCAAATCTGAAACTTTTTTTTGGCATGCTTTTCAAAAGCCCATCTGACTTTGAAGCAAGCTGCCTCTCTACAGAAAGCTCGCTCCTGCGATGACTAAAAGATTGACCTGGTGCCATGCTGGTGCTGTTCCACGCACACTGCTCTGCCCAAGAAGAGCAGTTGGAAATGACCTTGAAACAAAGTTTTGCCAAGATAATGAAATATGGACCTTTAAGAAGTGCCGTTTTTCAAGTGATTTACTGAAGAGCATTTGTAGCATTGTCAAAACTCATCCCTTGAATTTGGTATAGGGTGACCACACGTCTCTAACATCTACAAGGAATGATGTTCACTTTCAGCTTTATTAGCTGTATTTTGTAACAGGTTGGAAAAACTAGGTAATGGAGAAAATTGCCATCCCATCGTCATTTCTTGTAGGTAGTTTTTTTTCAGACATTTGCTGTAGGATAGAGAGATGCTCAAAGGGTATAACTTTAAATGGGGAGGTAGGAGTTTAATTGAGGGGTGAGCTACAAACGGAGATGAAGATGCACTTAGTAGATGCAGAAAAGATGGTAGGAAGAGGTATTTATCTTGTAAATTGGCCATTGGCAGGATCCTGACACACTAGATTTAGTCCCCAGGCGCACCCTTTTTTTCCTCCATATGCACACCCACAAAGCACACTGGTGTTGTTATTTAAACATGGTAGTTGATGCTGATGTCAGCTGCTGCTCTAGAGTTTTCCACATTACTGAGTGGTATATTTGTGTTGATAGCTGACCTCTGAGAATGTGGATAAAATGAAGCTGTGCTCTGACTTTACCCAGCAGTCAGGACCAGTGTGACTCTGGGAAGTCCTCCTCCTTTTCACCCAGTAATAAAGCAGAGACTGTCCCTGTTTGGGCCATTCTACATAGGAGGATGTGAGAACATCAGGGAGAGTCACTTAATCTCTTAAACCAGCTCTCAGACTTTTATACAAAATCAGTTTCTACACCTCTTTACAAACAAAACAAAGCAAAAGATCACTCAACCCTGTAAGAGCCCTCTAATGAGATTATAGAAAACCTCTGACTGGTCTTAGAATTCCGGTAGATTTTACATCTGTATGATGAGGGAAGCATACTAACAACAGAAACTTCCCAGGGCATTTTTCTTTTACTTCACTTCAGACTTTTCAATAAGTAATTTGACATTTCTGTAACTTTAGACTGGAGTCACTAAAATTAGGGCATTTTTTTCCCTATAAACTCAAGCCTTCCAGATTCATTTTGTAGAATTATGTAAGTAAGTCACGCAACTAAGCTAAAAGTCAGAATTATAGATTATAATGTTTTGCACAAATGTTCACATTCTATATGGTATAACTTAGATTAAAATCAATAATGTATTTGCAAAACAGCTTTTGCATATGGTACCTTAAATTAAAACCAAACATGAGGATTTTTCATTGTTTTCTAAATGTCCCATACCAAATTGATTGTGAATTTTTTCCCTAGTTGACTGTATTTGATAAATTTACCTGAAAAGTTCTAGCATAGGAAACAAAAAAATTCTGTCATTTTACCATATTTTTTAATTGATCAGTCTTAATGGTGATTTGGTTTCAGTTTCACTACCACACACACACACACACACACACACGTATGTGTGTGTGTGTTTCAGTTGAAAAACACGATTTCTCTAATAAGCATCATCTCTGACATTGAGCCCTCTAGTATTAGTATGACAGATTTTGAATGTATTTCCTAAAATGGTGCTCAACCTTGTGAATAAAGTAGGCTATGTCTTAGTCCATTCAGGCTGCTGTACTAAAATATAAACTGAGTGGCTGAATTTCCCATGGTTCTGTAGGCTGGAAGGCCAAGATTAGGGAGCTGCATGGTCAGGCAGGAGCCTCATTCTGGGCTGCAAACTGCCGACTGTCACTGTGTCCTCAGTGGCGGAACGATGAGGACTGTCTGGAGCCTCTTTGATAAGGACACTGATCCCATTACTCAGAGTTCCACTCTCCTGACCTAATAACTTCTCAAAGGACTCCCCTCCTCATACCATCACCCTGTGGGTTGGGATGTCAACATGTGAATAGGAGAAACAGTGGTTCAAAGATTCAGAACATAGCAGGATGAGAGAAAGCAAGGGAAGTACAGCAGAGAACACCAGTCCTGAAGAAACCATGACTTCAGGTAGTTGCTATCAAAGATCCCAGATCAAAGGGGCCAAGAACCAGAACAAAAAGAAGGCACAGGCCAGTGAGCTTTTGCCTCTGAGACTCCTTGTGCCCTGCTGCCCACTGACTTCGGCAGTCACGCTGCCTTTTTCCTCCTGGCAATATTTTCCCTTATTTTTTCAGTAAACATTTTAGATATGAGAAAAGTAGGGAGCTTATTATTATTACAAATAGCTAACAGTGCTTCAACTGTATTCAGAATCTTACTATCCTTTATTTTTAGAATCATATGGATTTCTTTGTTTATATTGTTACGTGTGTAAGTGAACAGTAAACATATTTTTGTGAAAACCATCTTTCTGCATCCTGGCACAAGCTCTTTAGTGAAGCAGGGGCCTTCTTTCCAAACTCCCAGGTAAGGGCTTTTTTAATCTGTATTCTAAGATGGTGGGACTTCACACCTTCATTTCTATGTCTGATCATTGCAAACTAAGCAGTGCCTCTTCTTTGTGATTTTACTTTCCACAGTTTCAGAGACCCATGGCAAAACATGGTCTGAAAATATGAAATGCAAAATTCCAGAAATAAACAATTCATGTATTTTTAATTGACTGCTATTCTGAGTGCTATGGTGAAATCACACACCAGATTCTTACTCTGTATTGCCCAGGATGTGAATCATGCCTTTGTCCAAAGTATCCAGACGATACACACTACCCATCCATTCCTCACTGAGTATCTATTTTCATTATTATATCTAATGTCATAGTATTGCAGTGCTTCAGTTCAGCCCTTCTGAAGTAGCCCGGCCCTTTGTAGCAACCTCTTTGTCATTCACTTCATCTCACCTCATCAAGTCGCCGTGTATCATCTCACACCATAACAAGAAGGGCAAATACAATGAGATATTTCTGAGAGAAAAAGACCACATTCATGTAACTTTTATTATAGTATATTATTATAATTGTTCTAGTGTATTATTATTACTGTTAATCTCTTACTGTGCCCAATTTATAAATTAAACTTTATCATAGTGTAGCAATATATATGATATTTACATTACATAGCAATAAATATGATATTTACAGAGTTTTGTCTAGCTGAATTTCATGTGTCCATTGGGGGTCTTGGAACATAGACCTGCTAATCAGGGGAACTACTCTGTCCAATATTCTCTATGTTACCTTCATTAGTACCTATACTAGCACACATGGTAGAAAAGAATATGATTTTCCTTGAAAATTCATTTCCCTTAAAAGTCAACCCTATTTGTAGAGGTCTGAATTGTGTTTTTCCCTTTCCACACCATTAGACTTGCATTAATGGTGGTAAACTCTTATTGGCCTGGGCCTCACACTCAGAGATTCTGATTGATTCAATCTGCACTTCTTAAATGTTCTCTAACATAGTTCTGAGGCAGGTTTGAGGGCTGTAGAGTTCATTGGTCTCTCCTGCATCCTTGAGACCCCAGGAAAGTGGTCAGTGGAAGAACACAAAGAAAGAAGTCATGTTGGTTCCATCTGGAAGGCTGTGGCAGAGAGACAAACCTGAGGAAATGGGAACAATCAAGAAAGTTCAACTCTTCCGAATGGTTACGAGGTGGCATCTCTGCCTTGGTTTCTACTGGAATAAAACATTGGCACCATCCCTAGATCCTAGGAAAAATGAATTAATATTACCACATATTAGAAGATGAAAAGCGTAATACACGTGTCAATTTTCATTAATCCTTGAAAATATTTATGGAGTCCAGTGGTCTGTAACTGATTAGAGTCTGCAGTTAACAGGGGATATGGGTTTCCTCTGAGTTATATGAAACAAAATATAAATCTTTTATATAACTCTATTTCCTTCAGAAAGGATTTTTACTTGTCAGTGGGATTTTTAAAGTTTTATTTTCTTGGATCTCATTACTTTTCCATAAAATCCTATAAGCAGAATTACAATGAGGTGAGTCATAGTCTTTTAACACTTTTTTTGGAGCTTCTTTCTGCCAATGTAGCTTGGATTAAAGACTTTTTAAAACTATGTTTGGGAAAGATTAGAAGAAAAGGAGAAGGAAAAGGATAAGGAAGAGAAAGAGGAAGGAGGAAGGAAGAGGATAAGGAAGGACACAAAACATTTCACTTGATAGTGCATTTGTTTTTAAACTTCAGAGCATTACAAAACTGATGCCTTCATGGTCTCTTTCTGGTAAGTTTTAGACAACGCTGAAGGGCAAATGAGTTTGGATTTCAAAAGTTCTTTCATGAGCCAGTTACTTGGAACTGGAAATGGATTTTCTCATGAAAATGTTGTTATACAAGTGGTAATTCATTTTCATGATTCATTCATAAACTCTGTGTTCTGTTTTGAAGCTGACCTATGCGTTTACTGTGATAGATAGTAGATTAAAAGTGGTTGCTCTAAAAAACATACAAGTGATAAAAGCAGTTGTTGAATCCTGTAAAACTTTTAACTTGAACCCTGGTACTGAAAAGCAAGTGGGATTTGATTTGAGGAGTCCATTCTGTTCAGGATATTCAATGCTGGCACCTGAGAGTGGCAGTCACGGGCAGGCCGGTGCCTGTGTTCCATGCTGGTCTCTGAAAGCAATACCCTTAGAGCACGTTGCTGAGTCCTTCATCCAAATGCCTTCTCCTCCTCCTGTGACAAACATGGTGGAGCACAGCTGTGTGTTTTCTGGTCTTTGTATTTACACTAGCAGGCAAAACAGAATTGCTCCCCTTGGGCAAATTATAATCAAATCAGAATATAAAATAATTTCCAAATAGATGACTACTTATGATTCATCCATATTTTTATGACAGATTATTAGAACACTCAAATCCATACTGATTTACACCTCTGATGTGTCTGAAGGGAGACTTCAGTCTTTGTGAAAAACCTGGGGAGGGTCAGCAGTTTACATATGCTGTTTCTTGGGGTTACTTGGAATTTCTCTGTTTCTTGGGGTTATTCTGAATGCTCAGAGTAGCCCCAAGAAACAAGGAGGATCATTCACAATTGAGGCGCTGACAATTAAAGGAGTTCAGAAATGTGTCAGAGGTGGTACAGCTAAGCCTGAGCTCATTCTAAGTCCATCGAACTCCGGGTATTTCGTGCCAGTCTGAACTTCCTGGGCTGAGAAGCTATTCCAAAGATACTTTCTGTTATTTTATTCAACATTCCTTATATAACTATCCATGCAGTAGTTTTCTCCTAGATTTAATAATGGAGGCTGCATTATCTCTCCTGGCCCTGGGTGTTTCTTTAGGTTAATGAGCCCTATTTCCACTTCTCTTCTGACATATTTAGGGTCCTTACACTGATCTGTGCTCACCTATGGCTTCTCGTGCAGTTTTCTGTCCTTCTTTCCCATCATATATTTTTGTCTGATTCTTTATTTTGCCTTGATTTTCGCTCCCCCGAGCCTTTATTGCAAGCTGCTTTACCCTGTAGAGAAGTAGCTGCAGTACACATTACACAAATAGAATAGAAATCATTAGGACCTCTGGAGTGTAAATTCCTCCAAGCTTTTTTTTCCCATCCTCCACATGACCTAGAAAGAGGCCTTGTCCTTGGGAGTGAGTAGTCAGTATTGTTAACCAATCACAGAAGTTTGAAGTAGCTCTCATTGTTTTAGGGAGGACCCAAGGAGCTGATGTCTCCAGCTTTGTTAATTTTGCCATAAGACTCACTGCTTTCCTTTTCCTAGGGAACTTAAATGTCTTAGGACAAAAGCAAGGAAATAAACTTTCTCTTTATGGTCCAACAAGATCTGAAAGTAATACATAGGGATGAAAAAAGGATGCAAATTTAAGGATCTGTGAAAGAAAAAAATTGCTTCAGGTAGATCAGGAGAATGCAGAAGAGGCTGGGAAAAATTGCAGATGACTTAGGAGGGATTATTCCTGCCTATTCCCTCTACTGTTGTCCAGGAGGAGAGAAAAGCTGCTTTTATACATGAGACAGTCTCTTATCATGTGATCATAACTAGGAGGAAAGGGAACTCTCATAAATTTCTCTCATCCGCACATTTATTTGGCTACTTTCAAGTTGTATAGTTTAACATGAGGGGGAAAACCTCAGTCTTCTTTATCCCTCTTCTGGGTTGGTCCTTGTTTTGGGGGCTCCTAGCCGTCAGTAATCCAGAATCTCTGGAGAACCTTGGCATGTCCTGGGTCCCTGCACTTCTCCAGAGGCAGCCCCAAGACTCCCCGCCATCACTGCCCCAGGAGTAGTGCCCCAAGGCTCCCAGAGTTCGTGTGTCTCTGCTGAGCAGAAGGACATGGTTTAAGCAGTGTCTTCTCTTCGGGTCACACTGGATAGAGGGAGGCACTGCACTGTGAGCAGCATTGGGGGGCCCCCAGCAAGTGGGTCTCACCTGAAGCGTGAAGATCAGTCAGAGTAAGAGACTCACTCATTTTTGAAGATTTGCTCAACAGATTGATTTAACATCCGTGTTCCTGGGATGGTTTTGGATACTGATTTTGTTCTTTAGCAAAACAGCAATCAAGAGGGAAAGTGAATGCTTCCAGGAAAGGAAGGGAAGTGAAGATCTCCAGTGGCCAGTTTTAAGGAGCAAAAGGGGAAATGTAGAGCAGATATGATGATTTGCAGAACAATTTCCATTCATGTTTTCTTTAGAAAACTCAAAACAATGGAATATATCTGGAAGTGGAGTTAAAGGTAAGAGTGCAGCTGGAGGTATGGTTAGAGAAATAAACAGAGCTAGGCAAGCCTTGTGCACCAGAAAGTAGTTTAGATCTTGTGTTAGTTACTTTTCTCATTGCTGAAAAAAAAAAGAAAAATCCCCCACACCCAAAGTTAAAGGACGAAAGGTTTATTGCCTTGCAGTTTGTAGAGGTTTCAGTCCATAGTCAGCTGGCTCCAAGGCAGTCTATAGTTGGCTGGCATGGCAGAGTGGCATTGCAGGGGAAAAACAGTTCATGGCAGGCAGAAAACAATAAAAGCAAGCAAGCCGTAACAAGCATCAGTATCAGCTTCTTTCTGCACTTATATTCTATGTAGGCTACCTAGCTTAGGGCAGGTACCAAACCAATCAGTGGACTGAGTTAGTAATCATTCACCCTTAATCCTAGCACCCTACCTCCTAGCATTATACTGTGAATCAATCACATACTCTATATCCAGCCATCTCTGAAAAAGCCCCACCTATGACTGCATGAGGCTTTGGGGGAACATCTAGAGATGGCCCTAAGAGGTTTTGTCTCTTAAGTCTGGACATTTTACGTGAGCAAGATTGGATATGCACAGTGGGAAGAGGGGAAAGAGAGGGAAAGTGACCCTGGTAGAGGACCCGCGTGTGCAAAGACAGGAATACCACTATCTAGTTACCAAGTGCACCCCGTGTGAGCCTCCTGCAGCAGAGGTGCACCATGCCATGGCCAAGGGGTCCCCTGGGCCCCTAGTATTGCTCTGTGTCCCAGCCAGGGAGACTCCTGTTGCCTTAGGGAAGTTGTTAAAGGGTTTTAGCAGGAGAGATGGAAGCAGTGGGTAGTTTTGAAGGCTTCCTCCTTTGAATAGGGTTGAGTGGGAAGAACTGATAGAGGCAGCCTATAATTAGG